ATCCTCCCACCCCTACTGTCTGTTACTTTAGATGAAAATAGGAGCCCCTCCCCACGCCCCTCTGAGGGAGATTTGGTTAAAAAGAACACAATGGTCGCGTTCACCAGAACTACGATATATTTGCGTTCACACCAAAAAGCCCCAGGAACTAAATTAGTCCATCAGAACCTTTTCCCGCCTTTTCCATCCCTGCTAGAGAGCAGGTACCTTCGTTGGAGAAAAAGGTTCCTATGTCTGATATGGCAACACAAAATAAAACATGGGAGCGGTGGAGATGAGGAGGTGTCGGCGTTCTGGCGACTTACTCTGAAGGCCTCAGTAGAAGCTGCTGGGAGTCCCAGCAGCTTCTACTGAAGCCAGTCCCCAACTCCGGGGATTTCCGGCCGGGGACTCCGGGTGGCAGTATACGCCGTGAAGTTGTTTGCGGCCTGCCAGTAAACCCAAAGCAGAAGAAGAAGAAGTGACGTCAGCGGCTTCATTTGACTAATCCTCCCTCAGGGACTTATTCCGGTGTGAACGCGATCTGAACTTAGTTCATGAGAACTAGAGAGTTCTCATGAACTAAGTTCGGCAAAGTACTTGGTGTGAAAGCGCCTGTTGTATTTATCACTGTAATAAACCGTATTAAATGTAATCTTACATTCTGTTCTTGTATATATCATATTCTACTTACGTGTATATACGTTATATACGTTACGTTTTAATTTACTTTTAATTAGTTTTATTGTTTATGACTTATATAACTATGTTGCATTGTTGGAGGAGCTCGGGACCTTAACATTTTCAATGCCATTTCTACACGGTAGCTTCTGTGCACATGACATTAAAACCTTTGAATCTAAAGGAAAGAGAAAAGCCAAAAGGCAGAACAGAACCCTTGAAAACAAATCTCATCATAAATCACGTGCAGTCATTTGAGTAAATGTTATCCAGCACGTACCTCTGTTAGCTTCCTGGTACACCTGCACCTTACCGAGCTCCACCCCTAACCGCCTGGAACACAAACAGTCATTATGTTACAGACGTAATGCTTCAGCTTACAGTATATCATTTGAAGCAAAGGAAAGCAACATGATTAACCCTCTTGGTGTAGACATGCATTTTAAACAATCTACATGTTGTCCTCGCTAACTGTCAGCGTTTTATTTAATCTCTCACACAGGAGAAATGAGAGTCCTCTGTTGTGTAAACACACACTGCGTGTCCAGGAGAGTGTTGGTGTGTTTTTCAAGGAATGTTCTGTTTACACATAACACAAGGAAATATGCAAAGCATCGCGCTGCTGCTGCTGCTGGGAGGCTACAGGTTCAGAAATGTATTTGACCTGTAAGGGGAACTCGGAATATTTGACATGGATATTTTTAATTTTTTATAGGACATTGAAATCTTCCTGGACACGTTGAGTGTGTGCGTGCGTATGTATAAGTGTGTGTGTATGTGTATGTGTATATGTATGTGTATGTGTGTGTGTGTGTGTATAAGTGTGTGTATGTATAAGTGTGTGTATGTGTGTGTGTGTGTGTGTGTGTGTGTGTGTGTGTGTGTGTGTGTGTGTGTGTGTGTGTGTGCTCACTCTGAGATCCTCTTGCACAGCTCCCTGCTGGCGGGGTGTGAGTTGGCGCTGAAGATGACGAGGCCCCCCTTGGTGTGGTCCATGACCCCGGGGGGGCGCTCGCTGCTCTCCCTGCACTCAGGCAGAGGATCCCTGGGCACCCAGGCTGCGCTGAGCCCTTCCTGCAGGGGACAAACATACGTTACTATCATCATTGTTATTATGGAAAGCCATCATGAGAGTTACCTTTACTGACAAGGAGGTACAGAGACTTTGGAGACTCAAGGCTTTCTCATCCTGTGCTCAGCAGCTACAGTGTAGAAATGCAAATGAAAAACTGAAGTCACGGGCTCCTCCAACGGGGACGAACATACATGTCATCATCATTGTTATTATGGAAAACCATCATGAGAGCTACAACTAGGGGTGGGCGATGTTTTCAAAGTCAATGAATAATCGTATTTAATAATCGTGATATCAATTATTGACCAAAATAATCGTGATTATGATTTTTGCCATAATCGCACAGCCCTACATGAAACACAATATAATTAGATTTTGTATTTTTGGCCCTTGTTGTGATTGTAATCCCGCAGTGTCCTTAAGTTAAGATTGAGTTTGTGTTTTAGGAGTGTTTTGGTTTTGCTACACCCCATCACACACAGTTTCGTTATTTGAGCTGGTTTGAAACGCAGCACTGTGGAGAGACTCACTGCTGGAGAAACATGCTCCTACAGATGTTGCATCATCCTCTGCATGTCCCCCCATGACCTGCTCAGGAAGACAGCGGGAGAACATGTCCTTAAATTCGCTAAAACTATCAGTTTCTATGTTTTAATATTGTTTATTCTGTCCACACAACATCTGTCCGTCCTCTTCGCTTAATCTCCTTGAGGTTAATTCCATATATCGTCCATTACTTGGGGGTTTTTTCGGTGGGTTTTCCCCCTATGCACTGCTGCAGAAGGTTTTGTTTATGGCACGGTTTGTAAAGCCCCCTAAAGGCAAATTTGGGATATGAGGCGATAAACAATAGACGGATAAATAAACAGAAGCTGAAGTCCCCGTTGTTAAATAAATGCTTAATCGGAATTTCCTTTTGTATTACAACCTTTGCTGAAAACTATGACAACTTTACTTCCCGCTGAAGTCAGTCTAAAGGTACACGTGTAACTGGTTTCATGAGTTAATGGCGAGCAGATGATGTCAGGATACTTTGTAAATGACATCATCTTTATAAATAGACAACTACGGTTAAGTACGAGGATTACTAATTATGTACTTACAACTAACAAAATATAATTTAGTAGGACTGTTTGTGTACATTTGCAAACTGGTTTCCCAATTAATTAATTGAAAGTGGATCAAATGGATGCTGAAATAACCACGTCCTGAGGCAGGTTTGCAAAATACTTGAACGTATGCTATTGTGAAGTCGGTATGAAAGACAACTACTTTTAAAATGCTTTAGGAGTTTTTCTAAAGCATGTCTACTCAGGGGAGAGGCGGGTGGGAGGCGATTCTCAATCAGGCCAGCTGTAGAGAAGACCCTCTCAGCTGATGATGGGCCTAAGATGAGGTTTGAGTCTGCGTGACCTGCGTGTAGGGGGGGGGCAGCTGCCAAATCATTAGCTAGCTAGATCTGATGGATTTGGACATAAACGTGAGTGAAGTATAACCGGACGCGAGAGAGAGATCAGCACCTGCAGCTCTGCCCGCTGTGAGGGACCGGTGAGCGGAGCAAAACACACCTGACACACTTAGCTATGGCACTGTCGTATACATTGAATTATTCCATTTGATCATATGTAATCAACTTAGGCATCCCTCCCAAAAAATAAAATAATAATTACAATAAAAATATTCATAACTCATATTCTCACCTGAATAATTTCGAATAATCGATTAATCGTTCCCATCCCTAACACTTACTAGATATAGCAACTTAAATAAAAAGAAAACGCTTAAACATAGGTTCAACAGTGTGGCTCTGCTTCGGACAAACATAATGTTTCCATGATCAAATGTCCAATCACCAAGCGTCCGTCACAAGCACACCAGCAAGTCTGACATGTCAACTTGATGAAGCGAAGGGAAATAAAAAGGGTTTAAGTGCGGTGACACACGTCGTCAAAGCAGCACAGTCTGGTCTTTGGACATTCGGCCTAACCCACACAAGTCCAGCAGACTGCCTTCGAGTTTCACAACAGGAAGCTCCGTCGTGACCTTATGCGTGACAGCCTGGATCTGAATCATCGTTCATTTGTCCTGCGATTACACTTCTGCTATTAGAGTCATTCATTAACCACAACTAAAACATGCGTGAGATCACTGCATGATATTCCCCTGCGCTGATGAATGGTTGAATGTTTGTAGATGGACAATAACACTGGAGAGCAAATATGTACTTATGTTGAGGTAGCAAATATGTACTAATGTTGAGGTAGTATTTCCATCCACTTTACCACTAATTTCATACAAATCAGAGGAAAAATATTGCACATTTGAATCCATTACATATGTTTAAAAAATAACTTGATGGATAATAATACAAAATATAGATCAATAAATCACTGATGAAGTATTTTGTATGTTAAGATAAACCACATTTTTCCCTTGTTGAAATACAAAAATAAAAACCTGCCGCTTTACCACCTGCCACATTAAAGTGATGAACACATTAATGCACGAATAATTATAATACAGTATAAATTATTCTGAAATAAGCTGTGCAGGATCATGATACTTTAATTATATAATGATCCCAAAACTGGTGTCCATAAAATGTTTAATAAGCTTCTACTGTTTGTGTATATTTAATCTATTAAATTTGAACACATGTGCAAAGCCTCAGTGGCATGCTGCTGTACTAAAACAAAATCTAATTTGTGATCAATAAAGTATATCAAATCAAACGTATCCGATGTAAATACTTGTAATTAGACCCGAGTACTTTGTCCACCTCTGGACATCACAGCCTTATGCTAAAGCAAGGCAAACAACAAATAATATATATTTGTGGGTAAGGGTATAAACATCTGCCTATGTGGGGCCCAATGAGACTGCATCCATTTTGGCCCCACATTCTCAGATAGGGTCTCATGTCTGCTGCAGAGAGCAGGATGAGAAGTGATGAAACAATACTTTAAAAACACAAGCAATGTCGCCCTCCTAACAAACAAAAGTAATAAAAACAACTTCCACATTAAACTAAACATGCATTTGCAACACGCCAGCGCAGGACACGTATTCCATGACACAGGGGCGTGTCTGCACGTCTACACACACACACAATCTACGACAGTTATTTGCATGCAATTTGTAATAAACACACGCCTATTATAATGCTCTGTCATGCCAAAAAGCCGATTACAAATGTGTGTGTGTGTGTGTGTCGAAGATGTTCTGCGGTTAGCCACGTTGCTAACTGTGCTAGGCCCAATCTGGGTTTACCACGTGGTTTCTCCTGCTATTGGCGCGATGCACGCCCAGATCGCCGGCTTCATGCCAGCCACGCCTCAACTAAAACCACCCCTGACAACCCCCTGACATGCAATAAAAACAACCCTACTACCCGACTACACACAGGACAATGTAAAGCAGTCGGCGATGAAAAATGAGACGTGATAATCGTGTGAATGAATGGGATAACTATCAAAGCTAAAGGGGGTGGTGGCTGGCTACTACCGGTTATTAGCTCAAAATGCTACTCACAAAAGAGCAACTAGGTATGCTCAAAAAGCTTCATTTAAATTGGTATAAACACAGAAGGCAATGCTGTCAATGTGCCGTGACAATAATGAGTAATGTTACTGTAAAAGACCACGATGAGTCAGACACCTACGTTTCATGCAGCAAAAATATCTACAGCAACATCACAACCTGCGTGCAGTACATGGTGTCCTGATGGGAATAACCATGATTTGTTAACATGTTTCTAAGTAGCATAGCTTCAATTAAAGCTGCTTACATCAACAGATATAGCATGGCCCTATGTGTCAGTAGCTTCACCTGACCTGTCAATAATCCACCCTCTTATAGCTCCTTAAAATTGACACTTAATATTTGACAACACATGTTTTCTTATTATCTGAGAGGAGTAACTTAACGTGTGTTTGGCTCAGGAGCAGAAATACACTGTGGTATTGATATATTTCCCCCTTTAAGACGTATTGTTTCAGACTGCTAGTACCATCATTACATCGCCATCATAATTAATCAGATGTCCTCCATTAGTCCCACGGCGGGGATATTAACAGTATTAAAGCAAAGGTGGTATAGCAGGTAAACAAAATTAAAAGGCATGCACTAATAAACAAGAAAAGTAGACATTACCATTAAAATACAAATATGCACATGGCACACAAGGTTTCTAGTTATCAGTATGCATTTGTTTTACAACCACAATATATATACAAGCAGCCAGGCTGTGTTTAAAGTCTAAAAAAAAACGAACTCCATCACTTTCGGTTAAAAGAAACTACGACACACGAACTGATTTAACCTACAACTGCCAAGCTAGCTAGTTAGCAAACTGTCGGCTAGCTAGCAGCATAAAGCACCTTAACCGGCAAAAACAACAACACCGTGATGCGACAATCCACCGGTCTTTTATCACACGGAACAAAGCACACACAATACACACGTTTCCTAGACACTTGATAAGAATACACTCTATCGTGTCTGTGTTTCGTAGCATTAGCTCGCTAGCCTGTTAGCTAAAGTGAAGAAAGAACACCCACGTCGTTTTAGCATGTGATGCTATGCTAACAGGCTAATCCCTGAAAACACAGCAGAAAACCAGTGAAGAAAGTCACCCTATCGAGCCGTTTCTCCGGAATAAAAGGTGAAACGTACATGTGACTGACCTCCCAGGGTGTTTGTTTACCAGCGACTTGAATTTTAGCGGGATATTTGAGCGTTTTAATGTAGAATTTGGTTGGGAATCGTCGCTTTACCTTTTCTCTCCTTGAGTCCGCAGAGCCGGACGGACGGAAAATCTCCCCGGAAGCCGGTAGCGGGTACTTCCGGTAGGATCCCGTGACGTGATACCTTTATTTTTTTATTTACAAATAAATAAACAGCGGTGGAATAAGTACTCAGATCTTGTACTTGAGTAAAGGTAGAAGTACTCAGATCTTGTACTTGAGTAAAAGTAGAAGTACTCAGATCTTGTACTTCAGTAAAAGTAGAAGTACTCAGATCTTGTACTTGAGTAAAAGTAGAAGTACCAGAGTGTAGGAATACTCTGTTACAGTAAAAGTCCTGCATTCAAAATTTTCCTCAAGTAAAAGTAGAAAAGTATTATCATCAAAATATAGTTAAAGTAGCGACAGTAAAAGTAGTCATTGTGCAGATTGGTCCATTTCAGAATAATATATATGATATGTTAACATATCATATGTATTATTCTGAAATGGACTTGAAATGAACACTTTCATAATGATTGATCATGAAAGTGTTCTCAAAGCTGGTAAAGGTGCAGCTAGTCTGAATGACTTTGTATACTGCAGAGTAGCTTGTGAATTTACTCCAGGTGGAACTAAAGTCTGATTTAACACTTGATTATATTTCACATCATTCATCCAGATCTGTAAAGTAACTAAAGGTATTAAATACATGTAGTGGAGTAAAAGTACACGATTTACCTCTGAACTATAGTGGAGTAGAAGTATGAAGTAGCATTACATAGAAAAACTCTAACTCTAAGTAATTAAGTACAAGTGAGGTACCTCTGAAAATATATCTTGTGCTCCCGGTTGTAACTGACTTACAATCTCATTATTATGATTTTCTTTATATTTTTTACATATTGACTGTTTTTCAGTTGTTTAATTCTGTCTTGTATTAGTATTTGTATTATTTCACAGTTTTTGTAAAGTGTAATTTGCTGCCAAAAGTACATCTTAATTAAATATCATCTATTGTTGGGAATATATATGAGCTTCCCGTAAAAGCCATGGCCCTTTTGTTTATTTACAACTTATGCATTTCATATTTTAATATATTTACTGTTTTTTGATTGTCTTTTATTAGTTTTTTTTCTTATTAGTTTGTTCAGAACATCTAAGACATTTTGTTTTTGTTCATGTACATTTTACAACAAAAAACATACTTTAAATCACCCAAAATATATATTTATTGGGCTTACACTTGGAGAAGTATTTCTTTTAATTAAATGGTACCTAAGAAACGTAAATGTCCTTAAAATAGTAGAAATGTTTATTATATATATACTTGTTTAATTCTGTTTTTTTTTTGTAATTTACATGTACTTCCATACTTTTACTGTGAATATCTATAGGCAATATAAAAAGTATTTGTATTGTGTTTAAAATATTTTCAGTCGCAAATTGGGAAATGTGTTAATTGCAGCGGCATGAAAAACAAAGTATGGAACATAACTAGAAATGAAAAGAGTAGTAAATAAACAATTATGCAATATTAACATCTCAAATTAGAACATAAAACAGCCAATATGTGTAGAATATAATATATGTTCACAACGTACAACAATATTTTGTATTACTGCCGATTTGTATTCCATATTGTATTCATTATTATTCAATTTCAATGTAAATACTGTTATATGAGGGGGGCGTGTGGCGCAGTGGGTTGTGCGTAGGTGTTCGGGTTCGGGCCACAGTATCGAGTATGTAAGTCGCTTTGGATAAAAGAGTCATGTAGTGTAATGTAATATGTGTAATATTTTTCTAGTTCTCTACCCGTGTTTTTAATTCTTGTTTGTATGCACCACGACATCAAGTCAAATTCCTCGTATGTGTCAAAACCTACCTGTTGATAAACCCGTCTCTGATACTACCACTATGAACTAAATACTTTTCTTTTGTGTATTTGTATGAACAATATGTGACACCGATAGTCACTGATCAGCTCCTCCTAGTGGACAAACTGCAGCTTCTTGAACGAGAGCACTTGTTGGTTTGAGTGAATGATAATTAACCAGTGACGCACTTAAAAGTAGGGTAGGTAAGAATGGAGAAACCAGCTCGAGTGCGCTAGAATTTGAAAGTACGCAGCCGAAAACAAATCAGCCCCTTCCTTCAGACTTCCTCACAGAGCCCCTCCTCCAACACACACATGACCAATGAGGGCACGAGATGAGTTTGTGCACAGATGGAAGGCTGACAGGCAGGTAGGCCATCCAGTTACTTTAGCCGGGCCGGCTCAGATGATTGGTCGTGCTTTTTACAGCGCCACGGCTTCCACAGATGATATTTTTATTCATGTGTTTATCGTCAAAGCATTTAATGTATTCATTGCTATCGGGATGTTTAGAGCATTCCATGGAATATAACAAGTGTTTCTGAAGTGAATTACCTACCACACCTTTAATGCACGATATAAAACACAGCCATCACACTTCCACGACGTGAGTCTCAAGTTTTTTATTATTTTTGATTCAAACCTTTTACAGCACTGTAACAAAAACCGAAACAAAATAAAAATAAAAACAGAAGCAAAACGGTGAATACATACTTTTAAATGCTCTAATTACAAAAGATGACTGAGGGTATAGGCAGGGGAAGGGGGGGGGAGGGGATTGATGATGACTTAGCAGTTGTTATTAATTTACTAACATATACATGAGGGTGGTGGATCAGAGTTAGGGCGATGAGGAAACTTTCCCTCCTTAATCCGGCTAACCAGACCCCCACCATGCATGTTTTTTTAATGTGCTAACGGTGGGCTATAGTGATAACAAAAAGGGAAAACCCACCCTTAAATCTTTTCAGCAAAACAGTAAACGTGTCAATAACAACTGCTAAGAGCCATGGAGGGCTTCCCTTACGAACAGAGGAACAGGCGATAGACATTTGGAATTTTATTACGGGGTGTCTAGGTTTCATAGTTGGGGTTCTTGCGGAGGATAACGAAGCCCTCCAGGATGGGGGTGACGGGGAGATACTCCTCTGTGGCAAGCTCCGCCCTCTCTCCATGGGCCAGAAGCACCGGGGTGGTGTGGGTCTGGAAGCCTGTGATGGCTTTGGGTTTACCCGCCTGACCCACCACATCCACAGCCTGGAGACAAGAAATATTAATTAAGATAAAGGAATCATAAAAAAAGTGATGTTGTCCTCCCATATTCGCACCAGAATTATTGAATGTTTAGTTCCTGAAATGTTTTATAACTTGTCCATCTGCTAAATATCTTATTTTGTCATTTCAAGCATCAATTAAAATGTGGAAACTGAGCTTTTAACGTTCTATCTTTTACATTTTGGATGTCAAAATCCTTTATCTGAATGAAGTGTACATGTTTTAAAATGACGAATCAACTTTGCTCAAACAATTTGAAGCTTCTGGTGAAACGTTGGGACATACTTCAGGATGTCAGAAATCCCCATTTGAATAAAGTGATTCCTCAGACATCAAATCTACTTTTCTTGGTCACAATTACTCATTTAATTCAATTTGTATGTCAATCTGGTTATCATAACTGAGTGTATATTCCATTTGTGTGCATCTATTTCTCAACAATAAAAGCCAATACATTCCCAGTAAGAGTCATTCAAGTTTGTACAGCAAAAACACATTTCTTTCAGAGTGTGTGTACAGATGTTCCGAGGCGTTACCTGTCCGACTCTGACGGAAACGGGCAGCGGCCGCAGCTCCTCGTCGAAGGTGACCAGCATGCGAGGCTGCATGGCTGCAACCAGGCCGTACAGAATGTAGTGAGACTTCCCCAGGATTACTGCGACACACAACAACAGAGGGAAGAATATCAACACGGAGGGAAAACAAGCTGTGGTGAGACATTATGAAACAGACACAATAGGAAGGTGAGGGTAATCTGTCCAATGGAAGAAATAACATCTCTAATGGCGCATTTCCATTCCATTCTGTTTTTGGTTGCGTTTCTACTCGGCGTAGTTCTGGCTAGCGGGTTCTTTTTCACAGTTTTCTGGCTCTCCAAAATCGAGGTTCTTTCCGGTTCAACAACCGGGCTGAGTATCTAAACTAGAGAGAGAGAATCGCTGGCAACTAAAACAGAATGAACATATTTTACCATGATCTAATTGTAATACACGTTTCAAAATGATGCCGAAGTAACAACATACTGATACCGGTTAGTAAAAACCATGAATTAATGCTTTGACAAGTCTGCAGACAGACGGCAGGCGAAACACCTTTTAAAATGCGTGTTTTCTGAATGGAGATCAGCTAAGCTAACGCAGTATATGCTCCGACCGTCCACACTCACAACAACGGCCTACAGACATAAATAAACCAGCGACTGTATTCGCCATGACACAGACAGTCTGTGGTTTGTACTTGTTTAACTTCTTTCTAGTTTCTGAACAGATATGAGGAGCTGTGAGCTCTGAGAGCTAACAGCTGATGTTTTGGTTTTGTGTTTCGCATTGAAGATGACGTCACGGCTACACTGCGTTACTATAGTTACTGCCCCAGTTCCTAAACTGTAATGGAAACGCAGCATAAAGTGAGCCTGGCCTAACGAGGCCTAACTATACCGTACTAAGCCGTGCGAGGCTCTGCAGTGGAAATGCGCCCTGACTGTGCTAATACAGTGAAACAATCAACATTTCTCCACACCTCTTGAGTCATATCTGTGAATATGTTTGTTTGGGGGTATTCACGCAGAGGGAAAACAAGCTTTGGTTGAGACATTATGAAACAGACACAATAGGAAGGAGTTGGTAATCTGTCAAATGGAAGAAATAACATCATCTCTGAGATTTTTTTAAAAGGTGGAGTCCCGCCCTTACTGTGCTAATACAGTGAAGCAATCAACATTTCTTCACCCCTTTTGAGTCATGCCAGTATCTCCACCTTCCAAACACACATTGCTAACCCACCCCCCCCTGTCTCGTCTCTTTCATATTTATTTTAAACATGTAATCTAGCAAATATGTTTGTTTTAGCTGCTAAAACTGAAAGGAAACTAAAAGTTGAAATAAAATATTTATAAAAAAAACAAAATTATAATTATTTAACATTTTATTTTAATTACTATAACTATTAATGAAATGGCATTTATCATAAGCATTATGTGTGTATTAAATGCATTTCTTTGTATTAAGGAAATGTCACACAGTTGATGTCTTTTGTAATAAATAACACATTTTAGCATCGATGTCATGCAAGTGGAAAAGGCATCCGGAGGAGAAAGGACTCACTGTTCTTGACGTCGAGGAAGGAGACGAGCACGGTGAGCAGCCCGGCCACGGCGACCTGACTCATGAGCTGCCGGTCGCTGTGGTACGGACACAGAGTCAGAGTGCCTTTACCCAGGTGAGTCAGACCCTGAGGAAACAGAGCAGAGTTAATACACACTGATACAGACACACCTAATTAGATATCACAGTGTGTGTGTGTGTGTGTGTGTGTGTGTGTGTGTGTGTGTGTGTGTGTGTGTGTGTGTGTGTGTGTGTGTGTGTGTGTGTGTGTGTGTG